CCCACCAATTTTGGCCAATTCTGCAGTCATTAATCTGGGATCCATTTCGATGCTCCTCTTGACAGCCCTTTTTCGTCCTCTCCGATGGACTAGGACGACTCTGGTGCTGCTCAGTTGCTTCCTTGCCATGTTTCCTGAACTGCATGATGATTCTGTTGACTGTCGAAAGCATGATTCCCAAATTCTGCGAAATTTGCTGCTGACTTATTCCACCATCTGCTTCACCAACTATCCTTTCTCTAACAAAATCTGACAATTCGAGAGAACCTTGAGTTCTAGGCATGTTGTAGCACAAGATAATTAGTGTGTGGACCATTTTCATTTATATAGTGCATTGTGAACACAAATTAGTTAGCATAAATCAGTTAAATGACAAAAAATTAGGTGTCTATTTACTTGTGACCACTCAGTGTACACAACTGGTGTTGTTCAGATGACCTAGTTCTTCCTCGTCTTGTGGTGTATGTACACAACTCCTGGTGTTGTTCAGATGACCTAGTACTTCCACAACTGGTGTTGTTGAGATGACCTAGTTCTTCCTCATCTTGCTGTGTATGTACACAACTCCTGGTGTTGTTGAGATGACCTAGTTCTTCCTCATCTTGTGGTGTATGTATTCAACTCCTGGTGTTGTTCAGATGACCTAGTTCTTCCTCATCTTGTGGTGTATGTACACAACTGGTGTTGTTGAGATGACCTTGTGGTATATGTACACAACTTCTGGTGTTGTTCAGATGACCTAGTTCTTCCTCACATTATCACCAAAGTTCCTGTACAAGGTTCATATGCGAAGAAACAGTTTGATATAGTCTCCAATTCAAGTTAAGGACTTTGATGTCACCTCTAATGATTCTGATAATAAAGCACTTGAAATGATGTACTAATAATGAGGCTAAAAGAAAATATTAAATGACTTTTATTTCAAGAAAATATCATTCCAAACACAGTATTAAGCTACTTTTATAAAATATAAATTTCCTTGTTCAGTCAAAACAAATGACATCATATTCTTCATTACTAAAATCCTTGTATAGAAATGTTTCTTCCAGTTCAAACCCTAAATGTACACACTCGAGCAGCACGTTAAAATTTAATTGCTTATTTTTGTAATATGAACATTTTCTAGTATGTTACATTTCACTACTTAGAAGAGGGAAAATACAATGAATTCTCATTTTCTTAAAACACAGGCAAACATACTGTTATTTCTGATAAATAACATTTATTATCAATTAAAAATACAAAATTTGTTCACTAATAGAATTAACTATTACATTTAATGAAGTCTAATAAAATTGCTACAGAAAGTAGTTAGTGCTTTGAAATAACTGTTTGTAAACCTAGTGTCGTATTAACAAATTACAAAAATGCTTTATACAAAATGTTTTGCACCTTCATTTTTAAACCAGAAGAATATAAAATTAAGTTATTTCTGAATTAGTACATACATTTATTTGAGATGATTTTACTTTTGGTAACATTTTCTCTCTTGCCATTAAAACAGTTACACCTTTAGGTTCTGGATGAACTGTAAGATTTATCTGGTGGTTTATGTTCTGGGTATTAAAACAGTTACACCTTCAGGTTCTGGATGTACTGGAAGATTTACCTGGTGGTTTATGTTCTGGGTATTAATACAACATTAAAACAGTTACACCTTCAGGTTCTGGATGAACTGTAAGATTTACTGGTGGTTTATGTTCTGTGTATTAATACAATTACACCTTCAGGTTCTGGATGTACTGGAAGATTTACCTGGTGGTTTATGTTCTGGGTATTAATACAATTACACCTTCAGGTTCTGGATGTACTGGAAGATTTTCTTGGTAGTTTATGTTCTGTGTATTAATACAACATTAAAACAGTTACATCATCATTCTCTAATCAAAAATCATTTTGTTCTTTGTAAAAGTAAGTACCTAAAAATGTAAAGTTGCATCTGGTTGAGAAAGAGTTTAAAATAATTCCTGTGATGTTTATTTATTTTCTCACTATCTTCTATCCTGTGTACTAATTCCTGTGATGTTTATTTATTTTCTCACTATCTTCTATCCTGTGTGCTAATTTCTGTGATGTTCGTTTATTTTCTCACAATCTACTAATTCCTGTGATGTTCATTTATTTTCTCACTCAAGTTAAAAGTCATCATCGCTGTCCCGCAGTAGAAAAGTTCTGGGAATCATCTTCTTGTTTCCAGGTTTCGTGTTAAACTTAATCTCCTCATCAGTTGAGCCATCATCATCTTCCAAATCAAGATCCGAGTCAGTATCTAAATTTTCCTTATTAAGGCAATAATTCAGATATTACTACTCAAAGAAAACTAATAAGTGAAAAAAAAAATGTGCTCAACGTTGCAAATTACATGAATTATTCCATTTAAAATGTTTTTAACTATCAAATTAGGGTGAAGTCAAGTTTTTAAAGATAGTGTAGATATATTTTGATACACACATCTACATCCTTTTGTTGTTATATAATCAGGTAAATTAGGTGCTGGGACTTTTTAGTAGGGTAAAAATTTAAGAAATTATTCAACAATTCTGGTTCCAAGTAGAACAGCATAAACATTTCTATAAAGTTATGGGTTTTATATGTATCTTGATAAGTGAAGTAACAAACCAGACATCTTGCTTCTTTTAAGTGACTAAAGTACATTTCTTTCTTCATCACTAAAACATTTGTTGTCTTTATTGAGTAGTCACCTTTTTCATGCATGGAAATCTATCTTGATTTTAGTATAAACTGTTTTATGGAAAACGTGGCTTGTACATTGCTAATGGTTTATGACTTTATACTAAAGTGTCTTATGCTAATGGTTTATGAACTTTTGTTTGACAATTATAACTCACTTTTTTGCCCATTCCTGTCATTGATCCAAATACTCTTTGTTTTGCAGACTCTCTTTTCACTTCTAAAATAAAAAATAATATGTTTAATATAAGCCTTCATACTTTTTATAACTAAATGTAGATCCACAGAGTAATTTACACTTGCTACAAATATTATAAATTTAAACAGAATATGTCTTAATACCCCCTCTTTAGCTACGCTAAAACGTAATATCAATTATGTGGTTTACCAGTTGGTTGCAGTTCCATAGGTTTTGCAAGAGCTACAAGATGATCAATATTGGTAACATCCTCCAGACTGCTGGGATCACATGCTCTCCACATCTCTTCTTGACGAATCTTCTCGACCATCTTCTTTATCTGCAGGTCTTGCTCCTGTGCAGAAAATAACTTTATCACAAACCAACAACTGTGCATCTTTACAAACATTATATTTAGTACAGTAATGAATGCTTAGGTGAAACTGTAATGTCATAGAACAATATGTCAAAATCAAACACTACATCATTTACTGCAAATGTCCTTTATTTTGTTAGAAATTGAGCAAAAAACTTTGGCTGTGTTTGTAGAACACCTTAGCTGTATGTTGAATGGTGCAAAATTTGAGTATAAACAGATCTATACTGCTACGAGTTTAAAGCTATTTAGGATAAACAAATGTAGTTTCATGTCACAATTTGAAGTCATTAAAGGGTAATTTATATTTAATTCATATTTTTATGGTGGTTACGAGGTCAGTCAAATTGACCAACTTCATATAGAGTTAGGGTAGAGAAAAACAAACGTTTGAAATTTATTTAGGAGGTTTAAAGATTATGTAAGTGAAATTTGAGATTTTTCATATGAAGAAAAGTATTTTTAATCTGAACATGAATATCATTTTGCACTCAGAGCAGTCAACACTTTGACTCCATATACTCATAGAAAAGTTTTAGTGAATATACTTCATTAAAAATTCTGATTTTTTTCTACCAAAGACTTAATGATTATAGAAAGCTTGTGAAATTTTGTGAAGATACATAAAACGTATTATAAGTTACAAGTATGGAAACTATAAAGGTCAAATTGACTGAGCTTATCATGAGAGAGTTAAATAAACAGTACTACACATGTTCTTGAATGTGTTGCACTTCCCACCATTGTATAAAAAGTCATCAAGTTATTTGGAGGTTTTAACATACCTCACTATATTCTCGTTCAGCTTTCTCCAACTCTTCGAGTTGCTGATCTAGAAATGCTAAACAACGAAACTTAAAGGTGTACTCCTCATACGTTTTCTCAAGTTCCTTTTCCAAATGTTCATATTCATCCATGAACGGAGGCCTGAAAGACAAATCTATATATTCTATGTGAAGTGTGCTTAGTAACATTGGCCAAGAAAATTAATAACATGAATTATTTATTTCATTTTGGTCTAAACCATAATAATTATTGTTCACTGGTATTTCTACATTTTATGCTAAATTTAGAAGACAAAGAATAACTCAGAAATTATTATAACTTTATACACAACTCGTTGTATCACAAAAAATAACTTGTGAAGAGAAAACCTTGAACTCAAGTACTTTCACAAAGACCTTGAACTCATGTACTTTCACAAAGAAGACCTTGAACTCAAGTACTTTCACAAAGAAAACCTTGAACTCAAGTACTTTTACAAAGAAAACCTTGAACTCAAGTACTTTCACAAAGAAGACCTTGAACTCAAGTATTTCACAAAGAAGACCTTGAACTCAAGTACTTTCACAAAGAAGACCTTGAACTCAAGTACTTTCACAAAGAAGACCTTGAACTCAAGTACTTTCACAAAGAAAACCTTGAACTCAAGGAAGGCTCAACTTTCAGTAATATATTATGACTGCAAATCGTAAAAAATACATTTTTTCATCTGTACGGATGTTACACCTTAACCTGGTAAAAATGATAACAGAGATCTTTATCATCTTTACAGATAATTTATGTAACACATTAATCATTTACAGCCTGTTCAAAGGTCTACTCAAATAAAGTTCACTGTAATTTATTTTAAATAAAATACTCTAAAGAAATAACTACTGCCACATCTATATTCAGCTCAAAATTTACTTGAATTTCAAACTGAAGTACATAAAGCTATAAATTGATTAAGGTTTGTTGCTTTTTTGATATATGAAGTGATTCTAAAGGAGAATTAATGTCTGTTAAATAGTGATAAATAACAATACGCAAGTAAAATTCGATGACGAGG